TTTTTTTTCTTCTTCTTCTTCTCTGATTAGGAACATATAAGAACAGAAAAAGTTAGTATATAGAATGAAATATTTATGACATATTTCTCTTTATCAACTGAAAATCGAAAAACTATTAAGTTCAATGAATGAGCGGTGAGAAGAAACGTTATCGATGGCGTCATCGTCCAGCATTAATTGAAGAAAATTTAACAATTAATTCACGATCATCAAGAACAACAACGACAACAACAACAAAAACACAAGAAGAAAAACATACAGAAAATATTCAACGTAAATGGTATAATGATATTGAAGATGATACTAATAATAATGATGATGTTGACAATGATAAAGATATTCAACTATCAATATTAATACCTAATGAAACCATTTCAGAAAAAATTGATAGAGTCATTAGAAAAATTGATGCATGGACAAATGAGACATCAACAACGACAAAACCTAATCGTCAAAATACAAAAATTAAACATGGAATATCTTTTAATAAAACAACAAAACCATTAATTAATTATGATAATATTCATCGAAGACAATATGGTTCGAATTTTATAAAACCAAGTTATAGTTCTTTACTTAATAATTTTCGTCGACGTTGTTCATCATCAACTTATAGTGATGAATCTATGATTAAAACTCCTCAAATATCAGCACATCGACCATATTCAATGATATTTATTGATGAACAGTCACCAATGACATTAATAAATGATAATAAATCTTTTTATGAAGGACCTAGTCAAAGAATGAGAACATCTCATCGACAAAGCTCATTAGAACCTAATAAATATCAACATCAACGTCGATCAATGTATTCGTCAACTATAAATCCAACATCATCATCATCAATGTATGGTTCAGATTTCTTCTATCCATCTGTATCTGAACAAGATCAAGATCAAGATCAACATGAATATGATAATTTAACATTTACAGAAAATTCATCATCACAAAATTATTATGAACCATTTCCAACAATACTTGTTGATTGTCAACGTTGTAGTCGAAGTGTTGATCGAACAACATCACGTGATATATCCTGTCAAGTACCATCCGATGAAGATATTTATCAAGATATTCAAATACAACATCGTAAAACATCAAGATCTTCTCCAATTTATATATCACCACAATCCTCACCAATACTTTGTCATCCACCTTTAGCTGATAGTTTATTAGCACCATATCATTCACGACGAAAAAGTTCGCAATCATCATGTGCAAATATTATGCATAGTCGATCAAAATCCGTTCCATCAACATCATCAACAACATCATCAAAATCAAGTCGAGCACCACATTTACCACCATCACTTTGTCCTTTACCAATAAATTCGGATTCAAATCTTATTCCATCAACGAATACACTTCTTCGTTCAATAAAAACATCGATACATGCTATGAAAAAACGTCTAAAATATATTCGACGTTTGTCTGAATGGGTATGTATATTTGATGATGATGGTAATAATAACTATAGACGTGATCAAGAGAGTGAGAGAGATAAAAGTAAAAAATAAAAACATCTGTTACTTAGTCTTTATGCTCTCACATCATTATTATCTACTCACTCGCTATTGTTACGAGTGGAAAATTCTCGGCGACAGAATACAATGTTTCACAATTTCTATGCACATCATCTTAGAAAAGTGGAATACATCTTTTAATTTTTAATATCTATTTATATATGTAACTATGTGGGTGTATATGAAGATGAGTTATTCTCCCTCTCTCTCTCTTCTATATCAATTTCTTTATGCTAAGTACATTACATTAGAATAGTAACAGTAAATGAAGAGATTATATAGACAAGTCGTTAGATGTTATTATCTCATTTGTATATGAACATATCTTATAATCAGCCATTAGTTTTTCGATACGTAGAATTACTATAATCCGGTGAGTATTTTAGTAGATTTTTACTTTTAATTTCTAAAATTCAATTGGAAGAAATGATGTGTATCAAATTCCAATTAGTTTCTGTTTATAGAATTTTTCTATGATTAATCCTAATTTGATCGAAACATAAAAATATCGAATACAAAACTGAGGGTGTAGGCGGCAATATAATAGTGTGGGTGAGGGCGAAAGATGTTTTTACTTTTTTTTCTCTCATTCTCAACATTTCTACTTTTCTAATTATGGAGCATTTGGGTTTTCGATATTTTCATCTTTCATTTTTTTTTTTCGTTTGACAAGAACAGGTTAATCTTGTTGATATAGATCTTAATATCTAATGTGAGAATGTAATATAAAACTTTCTGTATGTCTTTTTTACTCTAAAATACTCTATCTAAATTAACATAAGATATTATTTTCGCTTGAAAAGTTATAAAAACTTTTTAAAATATCATCAATATATAAACAGCATGCAAGAAAGGTTCCCTGTGGATAAAGAGAATAGGTTAAGAAGGACTTACTGCTGTTGTTTATTCAAGTAAACGATCTTTGACATAATTACTATTGCTACTTCCATAATAATGTTCTTTTTATTTCTCGTGTTACTATAGGGAGAAGTAAAAACAATCGAGCAAATTATTGAAGCATATAAATATATATATTCTTAGATGACAGAAGTTTTTCTTTCTTTTTAATTCAGTTTATCGAACGTATCGATTAGCACTCTTTGCATGTGCACTTTACGATTGAATTACTTATATATATATATATGCGTGTTTGCATGTAGGTTTTATTGATAATCTTAACTTTAGCTGTCGTCATTCTTCATCACAAGAAGACTGCTTTCAATCCGTGATTTTCTTGTCTTGAACAACGACAAAAACAAAAAATTTCTGTTACTATATAGGAATGTTTTCCTCTTTAGATTGCGTGTCCCTTTCACCGATTTTCTTTTTCCCTTCGTCATTCATGGGAACATAATGAATGTAACCC